TGTGTGCCTCTGTTTCTCCCCAAAGACACACAAAGCAGTAAGGGGGAGCTTCTGTATGTCCTGTGCTGTGAAGTCCGAATGACTTAGAACAACTCTAAGAGGGCTTTCAAGAGAAGTGAGATATTTTCAGGAGTGGCTTTACCCATTCCACACCACCTACACACCATGGCTGAGTGCGGATTCAAACTCAGGCCTCCTGGCTCCTAGTCCATCACTTTATCCCGGACACGACACTGGGAATCCCAAGAGGAGGTTTTAGGTGTTCAGATAATCAAACCAACGGATAACAGCACGGAAGACAGACACAGAAGGACGCTGCCTGATGAACTCCAGTTCACTAGTCTGGTGGTTCCCAACCTTGAGTCATCCAGGTGTTCATGGACTGCAACTCCCAGAAGCCTTCACCACCACCCCGTTGTGCTGGCTGGGATTTTTGGGAGTGGCAGAACATCTGGGGGGCCCAAGGTTGGAAACCCTTGCGCCAGGCCGTTCTCCCATGCTTAGCCCCACTGGAGTGAACTGGAGGGACACATCCGCATGGCACCCGTCCAGCTGGGCTTGACCTCCAGTTATTTAATGGGAAGGGTTCCGTTGCTTGTTCTGGATTTTGCCCTCCCCCCCACCGGGCACTAACATGATTTTGGCTGTCTCCAGTTGGCAAGACCCATCGTCAAAGCCTTGCTTCTTTTGACCAACTTACGTTATGCATTGCTCGTTAGAGGCTTGCTCATTTATTCCCCTGGGAGAACGGCAAGCCGTCCGTCTTGATCTCACACTCCTTGGAAATGTATTTTCAACTTCCTTTCTTGCTTGAAATCCATCTCTTGGGCAAATCTATGTACCCCACTCCCCTTTCCTGCTGTGTTTTAGAAGCATTTTTAAAAAGCTAAAATTGCACAATTTCTGCAGCATCAAGAAAGCAGTGATGTCTTTTATTTAAAAAAAAACAAACCCAGACAACTGCCCTTAGGAGCATCAATCTTTGATCTACACAATGAAGGTGAACATGGGACACTTTGATCAAACATGGCCTAGAGAGTATGCATTATGGCTTACCATACGACATTTTTTTTTCAAAGCAGCAAAACCGAGCGTTGTGCTTTCCCCACAGAAGAATGTGGAAAACCGGCTCATGGGTTCATGTTCTGGAGAAAACTTGCGTGCATAACAAGTGTGGGTACTTAATGGAGAAAGGGATCACAAACCCAGTGGGAAAACAGGTATTTTTTTACAGCCACAAAGTGGCTTGTTCAATTCCTGCTATTTGGAGAAATTCTACAGTCTTCAACTGTCAACAACCAGCGGGCATCAGAGCTTAGAAAAGGTCCTTTTTTGGGAACAACAGCTTCTTAAGTACCTGTCCGTATGGCCAGTCTTGGAACTGCAGGGCAGGAAGGGACCCTCTGAGATCATCCAGTCCAACCCCTGTCAAGGAGGCACAGATAGGAGGAATCGAACTCCCAACCTCTGGCTCCACAGTCAGAGACTTAAACCACTGCAGTAAAACTCACCCAATAAAGTGTGGACGGGATGTCCACTTTCAGTGGCCAGAATAAGAATACCCCTTGGCTTTTTCCTTTAGAGGTTTTCCAGCTCTGAAAGTCAGACCAAATGACGACAACAAGACAATAAACATTAAACCAATGAACCAACCAACTGAAAACGCCTTCTGGGTAGAATTGTCCCCCTGCGGTCCAGCCCTACGTCCTAAGGCAGTCTAGCGCATTCATCTAGTCCTGGCAAACGAGCTGGAAAACCACAGCCAGCTGGAGTCCTTTTTTGGGAACAACAGCTTAAGTACCTGTCCGTATGGCCAGTCTTGGAACTGCAGGGCAGGAAGGGACCCTCTGCAATCATCTAGTCCAGCCCCTGTCAAGGAGGCACAGATAGGAGGAATCGAACTCCCAACCTCTGGCTCCACTTTCAGTGGCCAGAATAAGAATACCCCTTGGCTTTTTCCTTTAGAGGTTTTCCAGCTCTGAAAGTCAGACCAAATGACGACAACAAGACCATAAACATTAAACCAATGAACCAACCCACTGAAAACGCCTCCTGGGTAGAATTGTCCCCCTGCGGTCCAGCCCTACGTCCTAAGGCAGTCTAGCGCATTCATCTAGTCCTGGCAAACGAGCTGGAAAACCACAGCCAGCTGGGACTTTGTGACGGAACTCTGTAGGAGAAGCAACTTTGTTTGTTTGTTCAATTCCTATGCTGCCCATTTGTAGGAGAAGCAACTTTATTTGTTTGTTTGTTCAATTCCTATGCTGCCCATTTGACCGCCGGTCACTCTGGGTGGTTTACAGCAGACCTCTGTGAGCAGCCAAAAAAAAAAAGTAGTTAAATCCTTTCTAACATCCATGAAGGAGATCTGTGGGCCTTCCGTGTTTTAAATCCAGGACCCGTCTTCCATGAGTGGAAAGAAAGGTTCTGCTCGTAGAAGGTTCCTCTACCTGAATTTTGGGGGGTTTTTGGGGGGAAGGGGCAGAAATTCCATCCTCCCCCCACCTCATGAAAGAGATGGATGTCTTGATGGATTGAATCTGTTTACATGCGATCCGGTCTTAGGCACCCCATCTTTCTTGAGGAAGACACCTGTGCATTCGGAAAGCTTGCACCTTTCGAGGAAAGGCGGGATCCTCCGAGTTGGCCCGGCCAAGAGATGGCTTTTAATAGGAGCTCCAGCACAGAGCAAGCTAGAAAGAGACAGAACCTTGCTTCAAAAATAAAAATTCTGCAGGCAGCCCCCTTTCCATCTCTGTTGTCCAGGTGCTTCTCGGCCAGCTGGCTTGCAGGCAGGAATGGAGGATGAACGCCCTCCTGCAAGTGGGGCTGAAGAGTTAACAAATGGTTTCTTTGCGGGGGGGGGGGGATGCAAAGAAGGGAAAAGAATGGACAGGAGGCGAGGGACTTCAAAGGGGGCCATTGAGAGACATCAGAGAAGGGCCCGCCGGTCATCAGGGGAGGCAGAGGGCAATAGAATTTTATGATCCAGGGCCTGGACCCCTTTCAAGTCCCTGGATCTTGGGGTCTTATGGCTTTCCTGGCCCTCCTGCCTGGATCTAATCTTTCAGTCCTGGCTGTGAAGAAGGGGAGAGGTGGTGTGGGAATTTTGGGTGTGTGTGTGTGTCCCAAGTCCACCAACAAGGCGCTTGGGGAAAGACCGTGGTCTGGTCCAGCGACTGGTCCTTTATTCACGGTGGAAAGCAAAACATCTTGGATTAGGGATAAAAGCAGCCTGTGTTTTCTTTTCTTTTAAGGTCAAGGCAAGCTTTACAGTTATGCAGAACTTTTCAACTGGGCAAGGCACAACAGCCTTAAGAGACGTAGGGTGGCTTCTGTGTGATGCTGCGTGGCATTGAAGGGGAGTCTATGGGGGGGAAATATATCATCCTGCTCTTGGAACCTCAGGGTGGGAAAAGTATGGATCATCAGCCCATTGAGGAGGCCCAGGGCAGGAATCGAACTCCCAAACAAACCACTGACCGATCTATGCAGCTACAAAGCTTATTCCGTTTCCACATGGTTCCTTTTTATTTCAATAAAGCGTGAGCAGGATTATGTCAGCCTTCAGAGGCCAGAATGGCTTTTCCCTGAGTCCCCCCACCCCCAGCTCAGAGGCATACATTTTATTTTACTTTTTTAAAGCTAGTCTCTTCATTTATGTTTGCCTTTGGGAGCACGGGGTGGGGGGGGTAGCAGCCACGTCGGTGCCGGGAAGAAAGTTACAGAGAATTGGTAAAGCAGATAACTGATCCCTTGAAAAATCCTCCTTCAAATATTTAAACCTCCTTACGGACAGACGCACCCAGGATAAATCCATCTCTGAAATTAACCTCTCAAGCCCTGGTTCTCTGTCTGATCTGCCAGGGGCCAGAGTTTGTCCTGCTTCATAACAGCACCTGTGTGTAAAGAAAACGCCCACCTGAGAGACCTTCTGGGCCAAAACAAGCCAGGTGAACAAACCATGACAAGAAACAAAGCTCAGGGTCCTTGAATACCTTTGTGAGGCCGTTAAAATGTCACGAACACGGCAAGCTTTCAGGTTATTCAGAACTCCTCATCAGGCAAGATGGTACCACATTTCAGGGGCCGGAGGATGGAAGAGCCCCAAACGGTGGCTACGTGCACACAGGCTGGCCTGCGAGAGGCAGACTGCGGCTCTGGTGATCAAGAAGGGTGTACTGGCTTAGAGCAGAAGCACCAACCACCATGGCACCGTTCGTAATCAATGAAGACGGACGTTCAGTTTTGGGGTTGACCCAAAACGTTGGTGGTTTTCGTCCGTGGATGAAAAGAGACAGAAGGGCCTCCCTCAAGCAACAACTTGTGAAAGACACACATACACACCGCCAAAAAAGTATACTCTTCCTCTGATCTCCGATCCTGTCCTTTGCAACCCATCATGACATTTCCAATTGCAAGTAAAAAAATAAATAAATCAACGAGCAGAAGCAAAATCCGGGCTTCTGCAACATTTTTATTGCAGGGAAGCCCGGGCAAGGTATGAGGGCTTAGGGTCCATTTTTGTCCTCCCTCCCCCCGCCCCCCCAAAAATACCCTCTGGCAGGCCACAACACAACCCACAATCCAGTACCTGAAAAAACAAGGTTCTCAAAACAGCTCCCAATAGTCGCAGGTGCTTCTGGGGCATGATTTCTCATTTAATCTCATTTCAGCCACGGTTTTTGACAAAAAGAGGCTTTTTTGGAAACACAGAAACCAGAGGTGACCAGCTGATGTCTGACTTTTTTTTTTTTTTTTTTTTTTTTTTTTGAATTTCAGCTCCCTGAAACCAGCTGGTTGTTTCCAGTTAATAAAAGAAAACGGTGGACTTTTCAGGCCTGAAGCAGGCGGGAGGGGGGCGGAGGGGGGTTTACATTTAAACAGCACATCATATTTCAGGATGGGTGTGTGTGTGTGTTACAGCTCGCCATTTGGGGACCAAATGTTCCATTTCTTTATCCGTATTACAGCATTGCACAATTTAAAACGGTGGACGGATATGGAACGGGAAAAAAGGGGGGGGGAATGAAAAACAAATCAACAGGTTAAGATAATTAGACTAGTTTTGGCCAGAAGTGGGCTACTCCAGAGCATCATCTCAGCCATCTGCTAGATATTCTTTTGTCCATGTGGTGGTGGGGGGCATACATTGCACGCGCGTGGGTGCTGCACGGATTGAACTTCTCCACAGTCACAGAAAGCTTGTCCTGCATCCGAGAAACAACCCCCCTTTTGCTTTTGACTGTAGCAAGCATTCTTCTTGGCCGCACCGTCTTCCTCTCTGCTTCCTTCCGCCCCCGTCTCTCTACCAGCCTCGGGTGGGCTTCCACGTCGCCACCACGCGGCCTCCGCTGTGGACGTAGTAGAGGGGGTGCATGGCGGCTGTGGCGCAGGCCTGTGGGGGACCCAGAGAGGTGGGGGTAAAACAGCCAGTGGAGGAAGAAAAAGAGAGAGAGAATCAAAGAGAGAGAATGCAGCTGGGCAATCGGCACATGGGCAGAAACACTCCTCCCTTCCAGGATGCGTACAAACCAACCACACTTACATGATAAGGAACCAGCCGAAGGACGCTGCCCAAGGGGAATTTGGCAAAATCTAACTTCCCAGTGAGGGATTCGATCCTGCCGTGTTCCTGGGTCATTCCCACCAACCTGTAAGGCAAGAGAGGGACTCCGTTGTCTTCCACTGGGAATCTGTTTTGTGGAATTAAGTCGCCCTTCCTCATCCTTCCGCCACCCATCCACCCCAATTCCCCTCACAACGCAGCCAGCGCCAGTCCCGTGTTGTTGTAGGTATTTCGGTTGGTCCTCCTTCCGCCGGCGCGCAGAAAGAAGGACCAGGAGGGGTGTGTTCCGTCTCAAGGGATAAACTTGACGCAAGTTGTCTGTGTGTGATTTCCACCACATCTCACAACCTGTCACGGCGCACCCCTTCTTCTGCCCCACACCAAGGCACAAAGAAGCCTCACTCTTTCTATGTTTGTGGGGCAGGAAATCTAATTTTGAGGGAATGACAACTTCCAGAATCCCTCTGCCAGTGTGGGGGATACTGGGATCTGTAGTTTGAAGAAGGAATTTTTTTGCAAGCCCCGCTCGCGCTCCCTTCTTCTCATCCCAGTTTCTTCCCTCTCTGAAAAATTACATTCCTTGAGTTTTTCACATTGTGCCTTATTTGTTCAATTAACAACCTGGTTGGTTTCTTTTTTCTTTTTCTCTTTTTTTGCAGAAAGTAAACCTGGTTTGTTTGTGACTCTTGAGGCAAAACCTAGTTACCACATCATCTCGTCTCAAGGGTCTTCACGTCTCCCCCTGAAAACTGGAGCTAATTAAGCACTAGATCTCTGTGCAAAAGTTGTTTTTGTCTATATATATATTTTAAAGAAAAGGTTCCTCACACTTTGCTCCAGCCGTTTCCTTAAATGCCCCCCCCCAAATTCTGAGGGAAAGAAAATGTATGCATCCAGAAGAGGAATCCACAAAGATCCGTGGCATTAAGTGGAAGCTTCATTCCAAATTGGAACTCTCCTGAGCTTTCGAACCGACAGGCACAGCCCCCACGCACGCCTGCACGTACGAGCGCGCGGGCATACTCCCCGTTGGTTGTCACAAGCCGGCTTTGCTCACTTGAGCTCTGGATGACCTTCCACGAGAGCGTAGCCCGTCGGCAATTGGCCCAAACTATGGAGGCTCAAGCCGGTCCAGCCGCAGTCCACCAGCAGCTGGTTGCGGTGCGGATAGTGGCCGATGACTCGTGTCAAAACCCGGACAGCCACGTCCTCCAGCTGGCAAGAGCCGATCATCATCTGCTGGACATCTGGGGAAGGGGGAAACGGGGACGGGTGGAAAAGTCAAGATGACAAAAAGGAACTTTATATTCCTCCCTTCTTGACAGCTTAAGAAACAAGGTTAAAAAAAAAATAACAAGAGCCCAAGAACGCGCTGAATTGCAATCATGAAAACGGTCTTATTAACTAAATCAGCAGATTAACATCGCCGTTTGAAACGTGGGGGTTGTAGTACTAAATTCTACCTTTTCTGAGCTTTGGACCACACCCAGGGGGGAGAGGGAGAGGCCCACCTCCCACTCTCCTGGGGTCAGATGACCCCACTGCCCATCTACGATGGGTCCTGTTGAATGTTGCATCCCTGGAAGCCTTTCAGACGCCGGATGCGGCTTATATACCTGCTCCTCTAGGACAAGGTTACGAAGGTCGTTCCCCCCCCCCATGCTTGCTCAACAGGGAGAATGCCTCTGAGCCTATGCAGAGTTCTTTCTCCTGCGGGACACTTGGTAGCCCAGCCGGTGGGCAGCAAGGAGGGTCACTCCGGTCCCCATCATCCAAAGGGAGGTCTACCTTGGGAGGGCGCGGCTCCTCCAGATTTACCACCCCTCCCACCGTCCGCGCCTCCTCCTTGACGTTGCAGGGGGTCACCCAAAGGGAGTCTCAGAAGTCTGCAAGGAGAAACCGTGTCGGCCGCTTCGCTATGGGGCTCCCTTCTGGGTGGAGGTGGGTCAGGCCCCCACCCTCCTGGCCTTCCGAAGGCACACGAAAACACTGGTTTTGAGAATGTTCTCCCGTTGGATGAGGCTCTTCTTTGACCCTTTGATTGCTCAGCTGATGCAACGGCCGCCCCCATCTTGGGACCTGGCCTTGCACGGGGTTTGGATATCTCTTTTCTTTTGACCATGTTTTTATTTGAGGCATGGATTCTGTCCAAGCCGCCCAGAGCAGCAGCTGACACCCACCTAGCTGGGGTAGAAGACCCACCGGTCCATCGGCCGATGGATCGATGGATTCATAGATAGACGGAACAATAGATAGAACATTTGCCCGGCCCTTTTAAGGGCCGACTCTTCGGTCGGCCAAACCTTTAGGGGGATCCTGCAAACAGCCAGACCCTGGGCTTTGAAACCGAGGACATTTTCTTATCCTCTTGAATTGCTTGGAACCGTTTTATAATAAAGGAAGGGGTGTTTTTTTTAATCACCAGTTTCTTGCCCTGAGATCTCTAGATATAAATAACTTAACGGACAAGATAAATAAATACAGCCGGAGTGTGACTCTTCATTGGCCCTGTCCTGAGCACAGCTGTCCTAAAACTCTTTTTGAGGAACCCCCCTCCTGCCCACCCCTCCCAGGCCAATTCAAACCCCCCAGGCTTCGTTCTTTCCTCCTCCCTGGGAATGTTAGGGAAGAATCTCTGGGTGGAGGGGAGACAGACACATGGAAAGTGTTAAGCGGGAGATGAAGCAGTAAATCTACATAAAATTATGCGGGGAAAGAACGCCGAGCCTGGTCCTCTTTTCCTCGTGGATTTTTCGAGCAAAACCCAGGTGGAATTTGGCATGCCTGCCTAACGTTTTCCATGTGTCTTCCTTGATGGGAATCGTTTCCAGCCAGGCGGCAGCTCTCAAGGGTCTGGGTTGCATACAGGGGGGAGATATTGTTGTTGTTTAGTCGTTAAGTCGTGTCCGACTCTTCGTGACCCCATGGGCAAGAGCACGCCAGGCCCTCCTGTTTTCCACTGCCTCCCAGAGTTGGGTCAAAGTCATCTTGGTTGCTTCGATGACACTCTCCAACCATCTCATCCTCTGTCGTCCCCTTCTCCTCTTGCCTTCACTCTTTCCCAACATCAGCGTTTTCTCCAGGGAGTCTTCTCTTCTCATGAGATGGCCAAAGTATTGCGATCTCCACTTCAGGATCTGTCCCTCCACTGATTTCCTTCAGAATGGATAGGTTTGATCTCCTTGCAGGCCAGGGGACTCTCAAGAGTCTCCTCCAGCACCACAATTCAAAAGCATCAATCCTTCGGCGGTCAGCCTTCTTTATGGTCCAGCTCGCACTTCCCTACATCACTACAGGAAAAACCATAGCTTTGACTATGAGGACCTTTGTCGGCAAGGTGGTGTCTCTGCTTTTTAAGATGCTGTCTAGGTTTGTCATTGCTTTCCTCCCAAGAAGCAGGCATCTTTTAATTTCATGGCTGCTGTCACCATCTGCAGCGATCATAGAGCCCAAGAAACTAAAATCTCTCACTGCCTCCATATTTTCCCCTTCTATATGTCAGGAGGTGATGGGACTAGTGGCCATGATATCTTAACTTTTTGGATGTTGAGATATATACACACACATATATACCTCAAGCCCACCATGCTTTCCCCAACCTGGCGCCCTCCGGGTGCCATGACCGCTGGGCATTCTGGACGTCAGGATGGTGCAAAGCTGCGAAGAACATACTGGGGTGTCCCACACCAGTCCCCCCTCCCCACTATGCCACAGTGTGGGAGAAGCCCTTACATGGATGCCATGCTAAATTTCTTGGTGGAAAGGGGCGGATTTGCAAACCAAGAAGAACCCAGGCGCCTGTCCCCTGGCACACAGGCCCTGCTCCGATGCCAGGGTCTCCAGGCTTACCGTAGAAAATGTAGTTCCCCGGGTGGACCTCGCTGAGCCGAGCCATCTCGGGCACAGGGTGGCTGCAGGAGGGCGTGGAGCCGGTGCTGCTCACCGGGCAGGTCATGCCAGCTTTCTGTAGCCTGGAAGAAAAAAAAAGACAGTCAGAGAGGACGAGAAAAGATCAGCTTCTTAGGAATCTGAGGTGCCCACGCTGGCTCTCCAAAAGGGCGTAAAGCACCTTTCAATGATTCAAAGCAATTAGGCGTTCAAATAACTTGGCTGGCAAAGCAAAGCAAAACACAGTGTGCCGGCTGAAATGCTGGCCCTCAGCACTTAAAACACACTCTGGAGGGTTTACAATTTAATGATACAGGTTACGCATGGCCCCCGCTGCCCCCCCAACAAGCTGGGGACTCAATGTACCCACCTCAGAAGGATGGGGGGCTGCGCCACCCTTGAACCAGGGACCTGAGACCCTCGGGATGAAACTCAAACTTGTGAGCAGAGTCTCGACTGCAGGACTGCAGTTGAACCCCTGAGGCCCAAGGTTGCTCACACCTAAGAAGTAACTTTATAAGTGTAGGTGACATGCACATTACCCAAAAGGTAACTATGGGGAGCTCTGTAACTAGTGGCTTCCAAGCTCTGCCGTAGCTGGGATAGGCTTTGGCCAGGTGAACTGGGAATAATGGAAGGAGAGTTCCTTTTCTGGGTGATGGTGACCAGAATCTCCCAGTTAGCACAGCCAGTGGCATTTGACCTTGTTCGATCCTGGCACTTAAGAGTCGAAGAGACTGTGTGGAAGGAGTTACAAGTAATGTCGTTACCTGTAACTAATTACCTTTTTCAGTGATGAGAGTGTAACAACATCCCAATTCAAATTATTGTCGTAAAGAGGATCCAAGTTACATTGGTTTAAATGGGTAATCTTGTGTAGTTATTTTCAAAAGTGGCTTAAGAGTACTTTAGACTGCATTTTTAGAAGACTTCTGACAAGCAATGTCCAAATATTTTGCCGTTAGGTTTCCTCATGCAAAAACCGGCAAAGTAACCAGCCGTGTAACAAGTAAGGCAAAAAGTCATCCCTCCCCTAAATAATGGATACTCTTCAAGCAGCAAGGAACAGGAATTACTTTCATTTAAAAAGTAACTTTCCCAGCTTTGTGTTGACTCAAAAAAAAATAATCCTCATCCTTATTTCATGTCTAAGGAACATTTAAATGTTGTCTTTTTAATGCTATAAGCTGCCTTGGGTTCGTTCAAAAGAGAAAGGCGGGTTAAAAAAAATATTTTAAATAAATAAATAAATAAATTGTGGGCGGGCCTGATGGACAGCTGGCTTTCTCTGGAGTCGAAAGGGAGCATTCATTGAGTGGGGGAACCAGATTGAACATCTTCCTTTTTTAAAGACGTCAGCGCTAGATGGTGGATTCTGGGCACTGTAGTCCGAAAAGAAAAGAAAAAAAGGAAGATCTGGCACCAATGCCATGCAGACCAAGAGGAGGCACAGAATATAAAACAGATCCCCAGGAAGCTGATCTGATGATTCAGGACCAGGTTGGGAGGACTTTTACCCCAAGGATGGGGGTGCGGTGTGGGGGGGTGATTTTCAAGAACGGTCCTCCCGACGTGATTGCACAGGCAGAAAAATATGTGGGTGGATCAACACGTTTTAAGCATCCTTAGCCGTTCTCTCTTCAGCTCAAGGCCTGGAAAGCATCAGAGGGATGGCAGGCCCAGCAAGACAAGAGGCCATAAATAACGGAGGTCGCCCGGATGCCAAGCGCCAGCTTGCGAGGAGCTCTCAGCACCGCTGAGCCCGTGAGACCCTTTGGGGCAAATCCCACCAGATAAAACTGCATTACCCCGTCCTGTTCCTCATCTGTTTTACGGTCTCAAGTTTTCATTTTAGGAAGGAAAAAAAAACACCCCTTTCCCTTCCTGTCACTTGTGACTTTTCCCCTTAGGGGGAAAAAAAAGAAAAGAAAAAGGAAAAATCAGAAGCTGCTGTATGGGCCCAAAGCACAGCAGAAAATCCCGGTCGGTCGAAAGCCATTCAAGGCCGTTTTTTTCTGCTGATGTCGGGAGCACTTTTTAAAATGGTTCTTATTTGTGCTATGATTAACAGCCATTTAATATCTATTTGGACCCTTCCCGTCGGGGCCCAGGACAGCTCACAGAGCCTACATCAACAGGGAGTGCAGAGTAACACATTGCAAAAAGCATGGAAAATTATAAATTATACATGCTTGATACGATGCAGGGACAAAGGTTCTCAACGTCTCAGAAACTGAGGACGGTATGACTCAGAACAGCCTCGTCCTAGCTGAGGTCAATTCATGCTTAAAACATTTCCAGCTGTTGGTGCAAAAGTCACGTGACAGGAGCATCTGGTTCATAGCAGACCTCTCTGGGGAAAACGGGTGAGCGAGAAGAATCCTAGCACAGTTCCCCCCCCCCGAGTTGCTACATTTCTCTCTGCAGGGACTCTGCTAAAACTGTTAAAGGCTGGATCCATGGACATTTTGCTTTTTTAGGACTGCACCGTGAATCAATCAACCAGCGTGGATTTTGGGAACCGTCGTTCAGAAAAGCGAGTTTCCCAGGTTCTGGTGAGTCGGGCCAGGCAGACATGAGGACTGATTTCCCAATTTTTTTAAAAAATGCAGTTGGTATTTCTCTAAATCAATGTTTAGAAATGTTTTGTTTTGGATGACAGCTCCCATTAGACATATTGCCTGGTGGAGTTTGGGAATTGTAGTTCCCCCCCCCAAAAAAAGAGAGAGAGAGGAACCATCCCAAGTTCGAGCAACGAAGAGTCTCCCAAAGTTTCAAAGCACCTTCTAATCATGAATCCGTGCCCATGAAACAGCGCCGGCCTCCCCAGGCGCAACCGGGCGGTGGTGCTCCAAAGTTTATGCCAACTGAAACGTGTTGGTCTTTCTTAAAAGATCAACACTATTTCACTTGGCATAAACTTTTGAGCCCAAGACTCCTGTTGGGTTTTTTTATTGTGAAGAAAAACACCGTTTATACCCCTCCACGCACACGGATGCCACCCCACAGCTCTGATGTTTAAAACCTAGCTCAGTTCCTCGGACGGCTTGGGTCACATTTGCCCTTGAAAATGGACCAGCCGTTTGCCCTTTGGGTCTCCCCATTGCCAACCCCCACCCCACTCCACCCGGCGCCTTCCCGAATCTAGCCTGGCCCTCAAGGGGAGGGAATGGGGGAGAGAAGCGGGCATCTTTCAAGGGAACATCTGGCAGGCATCCCTTCCCGGAGAGGGATCTGGCCCCCAGCAGCCGGAGAAAGACCGAGGCTCCCCCACGTACCCAACCGACAGGACTAAGAACCACGCCAATGTGGGTTTTTTGGCCTCTGTAGAAAAAGCCCTGTTCACTTCTCTGGCACGTTCTGGCTTGAACTGGGAGGAGAAGTCCTCCACCCATCCTCCTCTCTCCCTGGGGCTTCCTCCGATGGACCCATATAAGCCTGGTCGAACCCCACATGGGTGCGTGTGTGTCCTGCGCAGCCACGATGCACAAACCCAGGGCTCTCCATTCATTCAAAAATCACGGAACCCCCATCTTTCTCCTGAAAAAGAGAGATCTTTCCAATGATGGTGGGTTACACTTGTATATTTGAGTCCTTCTCTTTCCTGATGGGAATAATGCCTCATTCCCCCCCCCCCTTTCCCAACAGGAGCAGCTCACACACAAACACAGACAGACAAAACCCAGACCCTGAGTTTTTTTTCCAGTCAAAAGGCCATAAATGCAAATTTCTAGCTTGCTTTTATGGGGGGGGGGAGAGAAAAAAATGCTACCGGGCTTCCTGTGTTGATCTCCAGGTGGGAGGGCAAACATATTCCTGCTCGGAAGAAGAAAGAGACGGAAGAAGAA